TATTCTCACTGAGGTTTGAGATTATCTACCTTAAAGTTCTCAATGAATCCTCCACTACCCTCTGGAACACTCCTCCCCCCTTCAGTGAGGGGGATGCTGGGCTGTGACGCCTCTCCCAACATGCATTGGGATCGGGAAGACAGTTCAGATCGCAGTGCTTCCAAAAGAGACAAACGTGTACGTAACTGAGATCATAAAAGGAGAGAAGAGAAGCACATGTTTTAAATTGAGGCTGTGACATGAATGAATGATTAGTTAACATGCTTTGTGTCTGGTTACCTCCAGTCGACTGAATTTCTCAGCCTTGTAACAAGAGATTTCAGCATTTATAAGTTTGGTCAGGAGGAACTCTTTTAAAACTGAGCCCTGGAAGTGGAAATTCAGAGCATAATTCAGAGTGTGATTCAGAGGGTGACTTGCACGTTTTATTTTATAAACCTTCACTTGTAAAGTGCTTACACATACTTGTAAAGGAAATTGAATAGGTATTACTGATGTAAGACCTACTGGACTGATGTAAGAAAGTTGAGAGCTCCCTTGCTGAAACTTCTGAATTAAGTAATTTGATCTCACCTCTGTAAAAATGGGAGGTGTAGGAAGGGGTGGGCCAAATGGGGGTACATCTTCCCTAGCGGTGACAGATACCTGTCAATCAAACAAGAGGCTTTGGAGCTGTGTGCTGATAAAGCAAAATGTAGCAAGTATTTTTTTTTACCTGAAATGATCCTCCATCTCCTCCCTCTCCCTCATTCTTTCTCTTTATCCTTCTCACTGCAATGAAACAATGCAAGAAGTGGGATCTGATCACATCCGAAATTAAGGGAGTATTACCTTCCTGATAAACCAGGGCAACAATGTCATTCCCAATGTGTCTCTTTCTCTGCAACTGAGGGGGAAAAAAGAGATGAGTAGAGTTGTAATTCAAGGAAAAAGAAGCTGGTATAAGTTTGTTGTTATGAAGGACATTTTAGCACATTTTTGCACACGAACAATGTCCTGTGCTCTTGCAGTGCAGAAATGTTCCCTCGCAAGGGTGGTGTTTAAGTGTGCTACTTATGAAACGGTTTAATCGCCATACACTTCTTTTATTTCTGAATGAATTAATGAGTCTGAACATACCACTTAAAGGGTTAGTTCACCCAAAAATGAAAATTAGCCTGTGTT